TTCCTTTAAATAAAAGCGAGTACATGGCTCTTTTCATCACTAGGTAGATAGATTGAACATAATGAACTTGTTCCTACGATTGCTTTTTACATTTTCGAGTTTACTAAGAAAAAACTAGATTAGTACGCGTGTGTCACTTCACTGTGTTCTTTAAATAAAAACACTCTTTTTCTCTGTTTTGCTCTTTCTCAATCACCGTTATCATTACCATAACGTCGCAGAAAGTACGCTGTAACTTCATACGATTCGTAATGCAATACTCTGGGTAAGAGAGCTGCTTCAGTAAGCTATAAAGTAGCTCTATAATGATACGTATGTACCCTTCGTGGCTCGTTAAAAGCAAAAAGATGATATTGAAATTATCTGTGAAGATAGATATATCTCTTGCATCGAACGAGTCGGTGGAACGCAGAAAGTATCGCTTACACGGGGCAAATAAAAATTGTCAATGCCACCATCATGAGGTTTGCTTATTTCTAACTACAGGCAAGAGCTGGGGCCCGAAATTAACAGCATGGACACGTTGGACTGTCGCATAGAATGGAAAAGCTATTGAAAAAGAAAGAAGAAGAAGCATTTTAGATAGGGCTAGTGCTACCTTCTACTGGCTAAAAGACAAGCGATGGTTTATTAGGAGCTCTTAACAGTCGAGTAGCCGCTATTTGCTTTGGTCAATAGACGGTTGTTCGTCACTTAGGTTCGGCACGCCATTTGATTCCGCGCAATACAGGACGCACTGTATGATTAAAATTCTTCTGAAGAATTGTATCATCCCTATAATATCCCTATTGGCGTCATGCTTCCTGTAATAAGGAAGATAGATCTTATCTAGTACGTTGATGCTAGTCAAAATTTCGAACAACAAAGTTTTCCTATTGACAAAATGCAAAGTGTATGACCGTATGCCGCGCAAAATTGTCCCAGCATCTTTTTCGAGCCCAGCTATTGGCTGTGAGAAAACGCTCCGTAGCCGGCACGGCGCAGATAAGTTACAGGGCGGTACGTGCAGGACTGTCACGGCCGCGTCTACTCTCTCTCTCTCTCTCTCTCTCTCTCTCTCTTGATTTAACTTACTCAATGGGTCTGATCACATACACTTGACAGCGATTTGCGACCTAATTTGAAGGTTTGCAATTAAAAACAATCGTTGTCGGCTGCAGAAGAATGCGCAGGTACCGCGTTACCCCGACGATCTGCAATGCAGGCTCGCTGAACGGCTCTGGTTTGTCAGTCACCCAGTAGTGTTTTAGCAGGATGCGGAAATCGTGTGTCTGAAAAGCGTGTCCTATATTGGTGCAGTGGAATTACTCTGAAGTGTTTACGTCTTTCTGATCCGTCACATCTGCATTTCTCAGTGTTCTTGGATGACGAGGCTTTGCAGCGACCCTCTAGATCCCGTAGTGACTATTATTCAAATGTGCAAGTAGTATATCAGGTTGTATAAATTAGTATTACCTAGATATGGGGTTTGGCATTGCTAATTGCCTGAGCGAGATTTTCTCTATCCAGGTCATGTTGATGACGAGGTTCGAGAACCCGCGGAAATCAGTCAGTTCGATTGTAATAATGGACTGATATATAATGATCCCTCGTTTGTCTGTGAATGATGCCATATACTTCACAATACGATATTTAGTACGGTGACGACGGACATGACAGATGTGCTTAAGTGTCATTCAACGATTTTTTTCCAACAAGTAACCTTGTTACTGATTCGTCGTGAGTGTCTATTCCCTTCGAGGCCAGGGTGGTCACTTATGAACTATTAAAATGAGTGAGAATTTATTAAAAGCCACTAACGTATCTGATTTTCGCATACGTAAATGGCACAGCAAGTAGTGATTCATTTAACCGGAAGAGCCAGAAATGGCTGCAAATTTATATTCCGAACGCCGAAGCTGTCTATAAAAGTCTAGATTTACTCGCAGTATTTAATATGCATATGTGTTGTTTTGACTTCGGATTTTGCTACGGCAATAGTTTCACAGGTAGAACGGAAAACGATAGTGAGTTAAAATCGTTGGTCATCTAAGGAATTGAAAGGTCCTTTGAAGTTTTCTCTCGTCTCGCCATTGTTTTAGGTCGAACATTGAAAGGTTTCCGATTCGAATACTGGATCTTAGGTAGCAGATCTGTAAGTTGAATTTAATAAGCATATACAAGAAGTTGGCTTGCTTCGCATAAACCTGGATAGCGATACCCGCTTGTTTACGATACTGGTGCGCCTTATGGCAATAGGTACACACAAAAGTGTAGAAGTATGGCCTCACGTGGTCAGGACAGAACTATTGACCATCCACGAACGATCTGTCGTTGCTGCCCACCTGTAACTAAAAGCTTACAATCTGACACCCCGTACTGCTGTTAAAAACACTGATTCGAACGACCGGTCTCCTAGACAAAGTTACAGGGAGCTCGGGAATTTTGCAACTTTACACGAAATCAACCAAAGTTTAATGGTTTCAAAGGTCACTCTCTCTGCAATTGATTTTCATTTTTTTTCATTTTTACGCCTATATAATTATCTTTGCTTGAGAACAAAAACGAAAGCAAACGATATGAAAGCCCGGAAAACGTCGAACTGAGTTTTCGTCCAAAATAGTTCTAAGCGTTAGACGTCTTAAAGAACGTGTTTTTGGATCGTTCGGTCTTTTTCTATTAAATAAACGTCAGTATATTATGATGTATATACTAAATAAATAATGGAAAAAAAATTCGCGGAATTTTTCTCTTGAAGCTATCGAACTTTGGTTAACCGTCCTTACTTGATTTTTTTAACATTGTCACTAACTATTTTGAGCTATGGTAGAGACAGTAAATGTTGGTGGCATAGCTATGCCATAAGCAACAACTGATAGTAAGGATTTTAAATGTTAAGGATTTTGAATTCTAAGAAAAATCCCATAGTTACAAATTTGCGCGGTTTTAAAAGAGTCGCAGTGTGATGGCAGCTGTGAAATCCCAGGCTGTCATGATTATGGTTTGGGTTGTATTCTCGTTTGATTGTCAGGTGACGGAGACACCAGCACGTCGTCGGATGTTCCCCGTCTCAACCTAAAACCTCGCAATCTGTTCCTAGTTATCTTCAATCGTATGAGTTCGGCGCTTCACCGTCATAACGAGCTGGGGGTCAAACAAAAAACTTTCTGGCGTAATCGCCGTTGCCAACCGCTTTATGAAGAGCATGCTGAGGAAAACTGGCAGCTAAGTAACTTAAAGGTTAAACCATTACCTTCTCTCGTTGGCAATGTACTTCTTGTGTCTAGCGTAGTCTAAAATGTGCGTTTTCATAGGTGAACTAGTTTAAGCAGCTTTCAGCATTTTGACTAATTCGGGAAATGACGAAAGTTCGATTCGGTTCCAAATGAAATTCGTTGAACAACTAGAAAAACATCGTATTGTAACGTTGCGAGGTCTATGAGTTATGTTACAAGACGTAATAATATAGTTAAAGTTACGATCAAGATTTGGAAAACATTGTGGGTGTTTACGTAAAATTAAGAAAAGTGAAATAAATCACACTCCGTCAAATGCGGCGTGGTAAAATACATCGGAGCAACCTCTCATTATACATAAACGACATGAGCAGCAGTCAGCCTATAGACGTCACAGTATGAGGTTGCCCTTCTATAGGGGCCCAGTTCCTCCGCACATCCGAATGATGACCCAAAGTTGGGCGCTTTTAAATTGCTTATTTCCAAAAATTCGCCCAACTAGCCGAACAGATTGAAAATGTGGGTCGTATAACCGCTCCTACCTGAAACGAGCCCAACTTTGAGTTTAGCTCAATCGATCACATACATCAAAACTCACTTAGCGCCCAATACCAATGGAAACACTAATTCACTCAAAGAAATAGTATGAATGAAGCTAATGGGAAATATACAGTAAGGTCCTTCAAGTTCATCTGAAATAATGTTAATTAAAACGGTTTAGTATTTAAGAATAAAACGGAATCAATTAACATTGTAGAATATTGTTGCGCCTTAATTTTTCAGATCGGCGATCCGCTCGGACAGGGGTCTTTTGGCACTGTTTTCCAGATCAAAACAAGGGTAAAATTTAGTGATATTCTAAAAGTAACTTATATAAGTGTTGGTTTTGAAGAAACATTACGTTACATTAGCCCGAATGGTTCATCGAGCTTGTGTAACATGTGCATGTTGTCTGTTCCTGTCGAACTTAACATTTCTCAGTGCCCGCGAGGAGTTTCACACATGCTGGTCTGAAATAAACAAAAGATCATAGGTGAGAGTATTGTGATATAATTACGTTAACCACAAGCGATGGCGCTTCTGCAAAATCCAAGGAAATCGTTAGACATAGTCGGAAAAAAGCATCGTGTTTTCTTGAAATGTGAATTGAAGGCACATTTGAATCTATTAAGTTACGTATTTAATTTGCTGGTAAATGTGCCAACTACAAATCTTTCATTTGATATACAGCTGTGTATATAATGAATGGCCATGTAATTTACGAATTAAAATATTCTAAGCAGGACAATGCCACTGTTGCGGCGATCAAATGCATAAAGAAGAATGTATTGGATGGGGAACGCGAGCTACTGCGTGTCAAGAGTGAGTTCTCATGTTGGCGTGCGTTATCTGGACATCCTAATGTCATTCGCCTCATTGCCTTTCTTGAAACGGAGAGCCATTGGTGCTTTGTGATGGAGTATATCGACCTTGGTAGTCTGAGTCAAGTTCTTCGTTCTAATGGTGACCAAATTTTGTTCTTAACTTTTTTATGTAGCCGTTCAGACAGATTTGTATACCTCGTGCTGTTCCGTTAACTTGATCAACAACCCAGGAAGTCGATTGGGAAAAGAGATATGTATGAGACGTGCCGTAACAGCTTGAGGCTCTATAGCCTTCCATAATAGTAATTTCAGCTTTAACGAAGGTTGTCAGCTTACGGTTGCATGATAGCACTTCGTCGAACTTAATGCTGGCAGCACTGCACAGACGACGATTCTCTAATAGTCAATTGTTTTAGGTGTTTCTAACAGCTTCTTCCCTTCCTTAGATTAACAGCATCGACCTGCAGTCGGTGGAAGTTACTGACGAGTGTTGCCGCACGTTTCAGACATACAACTGACGCGCTCCCAAATTCGTCGCATCGCTGCTCAGCTTTGTCATGCCGTATCTACCGTGCATGCAGCTGGATACATCCATCGGGATATTAGTTGTTCAAACGTAATGCTAACGTCTCGATTGGATGCAAGGCTTATAGATTTCGGACTTAGCACCAAAGGACACGTCGGGCAGAATAGGTTTCTTTTCCCTTTCTGTGTGTTTAATTGAATTACCGCTCAACGTAGCATCTCCGCTGTCAAAAAAATCGCTATACATTATTCTATTCGCTTGATTTCTAATACGCGAACATTTCTGGGCATGTTGAATTTCTGGGCATGCTGACCACGTTACAGTTTTTAATATTTTAAGCGCTTTATACAAGTCCGATCGCTTCGTTACAACCAACTCAGAGCTATGACCCTGTAAAATGATGCTGATTTCTGCATATCGGTCTCGTTCGTTATGTGTAGATGCGGCAGTCTCGCTTACATGGCTCCTGAAGTCTTGCGGAAGCGTCCTGGCGGATGTGGTTCAGACTGGTGGTCTGTAGGTATTGTATTATTTGCCATGCTCATGGGAAAAACTCCACTGGCAATACATGCATATAAGAAGAAAATTGATCTGGCCGTTGTCTCAAGAGATATTAGGTTCGTGTTAAACCATTATAATTCGTTCCGTATTTTCAAAATTTAGTTCAAGACTTAGTATAGGATCTTTTATATTTTTACTTAGAAAAAATTGATTCAAGCAGCGTTTATTAAAGCTGGTACAATGCCTAAAAAGGAAATCTTTCAAATTTTGTTTTCCTTTTAATAAGCTAGATCCTGTCCGCTGAGTTTAATTTCAGTGTTGTTTTGCACCTAACCTTGCCTAGGTTCGCCTTGGCCAGAGCAACTCCAATCCGTATTAGCCGACGACTCAAGCCTGAAGAGAAATCCTTACTGATTGATATTTTGAGGTACTGGTTGTTGATAATTGTAGATTTCCTGAATACTGTGTGCTAGATAATACACATCTGTTTAGGTTCATGTGATCTAGTTCTTTGTTACATTTGTTGGAAAAGCGGCAAAAAACCGGCGAAGTAATGCGTCATTTCTATCTATTTTGCCCTTCTTGTTCGTACCGTTCTATGCAAAGAGGTAGCATGATATATTGCTTAAAAAGTTGTTGATACGTCCAAACAGGCCTTAACCTAAGAACGGAATGACTAGCGTGACACAATAGGTGTAGGCCATCAAGAGTCGCTTCTGTATTACGTGCGCCTGAAGTAGTTACGAAGTATTTGTTTTTTTTCTGTTAGAGAGGACCCAAACGAACGCCTGGGAGCTCGAAACAATATGGATTTTGACGAGATCAAACGACACGAGTTTTTTAAGAACTTCGACTGGAAACCATTGGATTGTGCCCGCGCGACCATTGTAGCGCGATTAGCCCGGAAAAGGCTTCGAGCCAACCCTGTAGCACCAGAACGGCGTTATCTGGAGCTAGAGTGACTGTATGATGCCAGACATGATTTTGTAGTTAGTGATGCGATGACCAAGCTCGAATCAACCAGAAGCTATAACCGTATAAAGTATCGTAATAGATATACAATATAATCAAGTGAAGTATAAAATTTACCATGTTATATTGCGAATGCTCCTTGGCATTCTTTTCATAAACAAGAAAAAGCGTTATTATTGCAAGTTCTGAAAAGCCTACTTGCACAAAGAACATAGAGCCGTGATAAATCGGAACGAATTAGGCTAAATTGTTTGCATGAAGTAAACGTTCGTCAAAGTTTTTCTAAACTTATTACTTTGAGCCTACCGTAGATAAACAGGCGTGCTATAAAACCAGACGCTTATCAAAAAACTTATCGGGCGTCCTCCTGCGCGCCGCAATATAGCAGATGCGGTAGTGTAATACATTTCTTAACAGCTCCCTACTAAAAAGAATGGATGCTGTGAAAAGGCGTCCAGAGACAGGTGAATATCCGCTAAAAACAGCTTCTGTACATGACTGAAGCTGCTCATAGAGGCGCTATGAACATGTGGTTATCGCCGGTTTAAATTTCAGAGTTGGAAGATGGTTACCATGCTAAATAATGGTCATGGTGTTCCATAGGTTTATTAGAGAAATCCCAGAATGTCCAAGAAGTTCCTTATCCCTTTTAGTTGGGGTAGATAGTTGACACTATAACGGAGAGCCGATTCCGAGGTCTTGTTTACGCAGTAAAAATAACCGGTGTTTACGAACTAATCATCGAACTACGCCGTTGCACATACAACACAGCCCGAGATCATTTGATTGTGTCACAGCATTGATAGGACTTGCATATTAAACGACATGAGTGATGACATATAACGTACTGAGAATCTGTGAAACGAAAACAATCTGAGACAATTCTGGTATTAACTAGATGTTATAGCAGACTTTACCTCCTTCTATTCTACTAGTAAATAAAGTTTAGGATAAGTCAATATAGATGGATTAACGTATTGAAGTATTTATATAAGGCTATTTATATATAGGATCTATTATATAGGGTTGTTGAAAAAGAATACATTTTCAACTTTTTTTTTTTAGAACAAAATTGAGAATACTTTTTAAATTCCAAAATAATGTCCTTCTAAACATTATACGTATAAAAGTAGATATACATCTACTTTTATACGTAGAATGTGATAATAGTAAAAGGTCATCGACTTTCATAATTTTTTTGAATAATATTGAACATCCTGACTATAGAACTTACGTAGTTTCTGGGCAAAGTCACTTTTACATGCCTCCATTGAAAGTAATATGTACTAATGAAAGAGTTGTATAAAACCGAGATAAATGGTATTTTGTTGAAGCAAAATTCGGGTTTTACGTACGATAGTTAAGGTAGAAGACCACGTCTTTTCTGGTCACTAACTCCAGTCAATTTTTTCCAATGACTTGCTATAGTCTTATAAATCGTGTAGGTTTGAGTTAATTGTCTTGCTCAGTATGCACTATTCCTTTATAGTACCCCTAAACCCATAGCATCGCAATCTTTGGCGTCAGTCTGCGCTTTGCCAAAGACTGGGGCACATTTTCTCCATTTGTACATAATTAATGTATGCGATTCGTTTTGCATCACCCGTAATTAACCGCTTCATAAATAGCACGATTTCGTCGCGTCTCGGTAGAGCTTGGTAAATGAAAATACGATCGAATAAATTCATTTGCGTCCACTCGTGTAGCACCCAAACGCCTTTACAGAGCATCTTTTGAACCTCGTTAAGATAACCTTTCAGCTTCCTCAGAGCAGTTTACAGCTCGTAATGGACCTGTCGTTTTCTGGCAACATCATAACTATTTACCTCAACTTTAGTAGCTTTAACTCAGCTTCATCAACTTTTCCGTGACCGGTCAATCCCTATAACTTCCAGAACGAAGGCGACAAAAATATTAAGCTACTCCTTCCTATAACGGCCGAAGTTGAATTTACCACACTTTTGCAGAAATTTCACTTATATTTGAAGTACTCGACCGCAAGTCCAAATAAAGGCATTGCAAGAGCTTTAACTTGTATGCTTTATGTTTCGTTTTTTGTGCGGTATCGCCGTGGAGCTTTCTGTCGGACGGCTGGCTCCCACCACGAAGCAAAATCTATCTGTTATTGCTAATATTTGAATATACACTACAACGCGCCTGTAGCCAAATATGTTACCCGCTAAGCTGCCGCGGGAACCTTGTATTCTCCTCGCAGATTTCAGCTTCTAAGTGACACCACTGCTGACCCGATGGGCCCTATATAACCTGAGATATGCAGCTTTAAAGCTGTGTGGCAAGAAAAACGATCGACGCCGTTTTCGACAACCCACTATATATTTCCTTGCATGTATATTGTCTTGTATATATTCAACCTAAATGGGAATTTTTATTATGTATGTTTCTCAATGGAAAAAGATATTTTAGAGAAGTTTTTGGATGTCGCTCCCACCATTCACCGCAATTGCAGCTTTGATTCGGGATCTAAACCAGTTACTATTAATATCTCTGCATCAAATATCCAAGTGCATCGAAAATTGACTTTTGGGTAGTTTTGATGGACGTTTGAGCCCTTTAAATCATGCATCTGTTGAACATAATTATTAAATCATGCATCTGTTGAACATAATTATAATTTTTTTTTCATTTATGCAGTTTTGTTTATGACGACTTAATTTCTAACAACTTCAGAGCCTTCTGAAGGATTTAAGAGTGTGAGTATTGCAGTCTCAGTTTTGTCGAGTGTGTCTACGAAATGTACTCCTCCATGGAGTTTATGCTCATTGAACTGCGAGGCTACAAAATCGATCAACTCCTGACGAATACACTTAAGTGTTTTAGTCTTTTCATAAGCAGGTTTAAGGATGATCAGAGCCGTCGAGGCTTCTAGGGACTACCACAACTTCCGATACTGCGGGATGATTTAGCATGGCATCTTCGATTTCCGTGGGTGCAATAAGCTCTTTGAGGCAAATGATGAAGTGCTTTTTACGTCCAGTAATTGAGAGGCGATCTTGAGCCAGTCCACATCGCCCGTCGCGTAAAATCATCAGATTCGCGTTTCCAGAAGCCCAACACCATTTGAGGGCCGCGCCATTGCAGCTCTCCAGCTTCACCAACTTCAATACATTGTCCTTTGTCCTTGATCCTGACTCTGATGTCAAAGTTTGGCGCAACGAAGCCGATAGAATTCGGTACAGGGCTCTGAAGCCGCAACTGGCTCAAAGGATTCGATCATACCGTGAGTGTTCAGAAGCTGTTTCTCACTAAAGAGCTCAGTGGTCTCTTCACGTAAATGCTTTTGAAATACGGTCCCGCCAAGAGGAACTACGCGTATGCTAGTTAGCATGCGGTAAATATTCGAGAAACGATGCACGTTAGCGGGGAAGATTTTCATGGGATACTTCAGAACCACAAACACCGTGGCTTTGTACATCTCAATAAATAATGGCAGGTCTGTGTCGATGTCATGACTGGCCAAGACGAGTGTTCCTCAACATGATAGCGGGTATATCGTTACGAGTGTGACGAGCGTTAGGGTGCTCAGTAACATGAATTGGTCTCTTTCTATGTACATCCCCATCGAATTTGGATCCACTGCGTGAATTGCTCTCACGAATGTGTAATGACTGTGCATTCTCCCTTTAAGCACTCCTGTAGATCCCGAAGCGTATGATGCAACTAGTTATCTTCCCATAGACGAATATCATTCGGCTTGATAAACTCTCCTGTAATTAACTGATCTATCGGCGAGGATGAACTTCGTGGATGTTCCACTAATTATAATCGCTTTTTTTACGCTCCAGTCTCGATCTGCCAGCAACAGATGCACTACGATATCTTAATTTGCTCCGTCAGTAATTATTTGACTTCGGCGTCCGTTCCGTTTGAAATTTGTACTCTACACACTTAGTGGATTTGCTCGGTTTGAAAACAAACACGCTAGCATTACACATAAACTCAAGGGCATTGTCGGCATAGGACTGGACTTTAGTTCGAGATAAAACTCCGAGTTTTTGCAAAGAGCCAGCAGAACTTACAACTTCGTCTTCCAGCTGAACGAAACTAATTTCTCTACCGGAATTCACGTCCACTACCGCGATTTTGTTAGGGTTCCCTCTTTAACCCTCTAACGAGAAATCGGTATACGTCTTTTCCGGCGATTTTAGACCTTTCCATTAACCAATTTTTGCGGGAATTTTGAACTTGTTATACCTTCACTTTTAATATAAGTGAGGTCTTATTGTTTAATTTTGTGTGGTAGCCCGCCAGGAACCTTCCTTATAAAGCCCACAAGAGTGGATAAAAATCAACGCGATCAAAATTACTTTGTCACCGCAGTACGGGCCGCTTGTGATAATGGTAATTTACAGTTGTAACCGGTATCTATTAAGAATGTGTTCGCGACGAGAAAACAGCTGCCAGCTACCGATATGGCCATTATCTCAAAAGGCTAGCGTAGAAGCTAGTCTATTTTTCCTGCTATTATCATCCCAAACCGCACAAACTCGAAGCGGATATTTTTCATCCTCCCAGCCAAACACCTCAACATGGACTCATTTTGAAATGTTTCTACAAACATCTTTTTTTTCTTCGAGATAGCTCAGAAGTGGCCGATAAGGGCTGTAAACTAGATGGTCATTTTCGGAGCTCAATCTCGGTAGCCTTCTCATCTAGCTTTCGCAATCGCAAATCAGTAAAATTAGTAGGATCAATCTTCATTTATTATACCTCGGTATTTCCAGTTGTAAATAAGGTATCGCAGTTAGGAATTCCATCAGAAGGCTAATTCACACCACGAAATGGGTTCGAACGCAACCACAACTTGTCCCTAAGATCAGCGGGCACCCGTAAGCGAGCACCACATTAAGTTCATTTTCTCCAAACCACTAAAAACTTGCTTGGCAACATTACTGAACACTTATTTAAATGGTAATGGTAATCTCGGCGGAGACAGTAGTTAATTGTAGTTACTTTGGTCATACATAGAAAAGTAACCTTCGCATATCCTGTAACAACTGTTCAAAAGTTACTTTTTCCTCTAATATAAATTTTACTGCCATAATCACGTTTTCTCAATGGATAATAATGCACACTTAGAAAATGCACACATTAATTGTTTATGGGATATATATACGCAATAACGACTGCATAGTCAACGTAATTTTTATTGTACACAGTATATGAATATTTATATCTTTGAGTGATTTTACATATTTGAGGGAGTTTCCACGGAACTTCCAGCAGAGCGTTAGACGATTTCACACAGCGTTACGCTTAGAACTCACGGGCTTATTTAAGCGTAAATTCCTGCATCGCTTTGTCCTATTACATATTTACGATAATTACAATTTAGATATATATATTCATATGCTAGTACGAAATGGAACCGATACTTTTAATTAGACATCATATAGTGACTTTCACACCACGCCAGTGCAAAAGACTTACTAGCTGTTTTTTGTATTTCTGTATAAGCTACCTTTTTTTACAGTCATTTATAGTTTGCCAGATTTGCCAACGATCCCGAAAGTTCATCAACATACTGAAAAATGCAGCGTCAAGCACAGTATGCACAAATCAAATTTATACTTAGATGCATATTAAGATGCATTTCGACAATAATGTTCCTCTCCTGAAAGTTGTAAAAACATTTTCGATTATATTTGACACCTTTATAAGCAACTTAAACGACAACTCCTATGAACATAGAACACACTAGAGTTTCTCTCACCTTCATTGACTTTTTCCGTACCAGTGGACGCTCAGCACGACCACAGATCACAATAGGAAACAATATTTGAGACACTTATGCTGCTAGTTTTGAGAAACAGTATTGATGTACCTGCAAAATGTAAAATATGGAATCATTCTATTTCAAAACAATATAGATGACTAATCAGAGTAATTCCGGTTGCAAGAAAACGCCTTAGGCGTTTTACGTCCATTTTGACAAAAATCTTAACTTACGCCTTAACGGTCATCAAAACTAGCAGGACATAATAAAGTGAGCTTGTGCAATAGAGTATACAAATGTCGACTATATATGAAAGCACCTCCACGAGTCACCGGTATCAGCCCCGCAGGCTGCAAAAAGGTGGAACATAGTTTTCCTGCAGTTAAAAACCACCATCGTTTCTGACACGGAAACTATGCTGCCTCTTCGAAAGGGTAGCAAAGGATAGCTGAGCTAGTTGATCATTCTCACTCGGCTTTTCAGAGTCATGTCCTGTTCTAGGGTCTATCAAAGATGCCAAAATTTGGGGTACACGACATCTTTATACGCCAGTTTCTCATACGCCAGTGAACAGGGGATGCAAAGATCCCCGAGTCATTTTTCGAAACTTGCTGTACTACATTATGATAGGTACTTGTCCCGATTGAATAGTATTGTAGTTGACTTAAGACTGTGTTACAAATGTCGAACAATTGATGATTTATTTCGGCTGAATATAAATATCCCATCACTTATCTTGGTTGTTTTTTTTTTGCTGTTGAAAAGGAAGAAGCCTCGCCTAGCTGAAGCTGTATCACACACAGGTGTAGCATTACTCATATATCAGTTTAGCGGGTACGTCGTCTTCACTCTGTTATAGATTCTTAGCGAACGCAGACGCAGCGCTGCAAATATCGAGAATTACACTATTATTAGCGTGTACAATGCTGGCGCCGGATTCAAATTAGCCTTTGGTCTAGGTTGAATGGATTAAGACCAAAAATGAACTCCATGTCGCATACACATTAGTGACGGTAATACATGTATCATGAACAGGAATTAGAGATATTTAGCGTGCTTTTTTTGCCTGTATTCCTCTTCCTTATTCCACCTCTAAACAGATCCCCCAGATACTAAAATCTCTGGATTCAAAGAAATTGTGCATAGTAATGATAGTGCAGTGTAACAATATCGTTCATTATTAGTAAGGAAGATCTGCACTTTACTTATATAGAAGTACGTCGATGTCTAAATTTACAAAATAGGAATCGGTGCATAAAGATAGTATTATTGAATGTCTTTTCATTTCCAGGTCTAACTCGATAACGGAATTAAGCATGCTAGTACGTATGCCCACACATTCACTAAGAATAACCGTCATTAGTTAGAAAATATCTGAACCCAAAAAGACGAATAGCATTAACGTTTCTTTCAGTGATTGCAGCGAATTAGGCAGATTTAGCTATGCTGCCACTATTATTTGAAATTTCTTAGTAGGGCAGCGATTCTGGAGCTTAATGGAAAAATTATCTAGAGTTTATTATCTGCAATTAATTCTTACAATTAATTAAGTAATGATTGTTTGAACCAAGAAAGACGTAAAGTCTAATTGGTATGTAAAATAATCTAAATCATAAACAGGAGCGCTAGATGCTATATATCGTAACAATTTTCATGGCTAAATAATCTAATCAGACACTAAAACTTTACAGCCGATCATTGTTGTAAATGAACCTATCAAATCTCCTTTGAAAAGCATTCACTTAACCCTCTAGGACCACAGAACTTATAATGTCGGTTACCTTAATTAAACGATTTTTGGTTTATGGCACACGCAAGTTACGAAAGACGTCGACTTTTTTTTAACGTATTTCGTTCTAAACAAAATGATATTGAAAGGGAAATCTGGCTCTGATTTCGTAGTGTTAAAATCTGCTATTAAACATACATAGCTTTCAGATATTAAACATTTTCAAAATAAGTAGCATAATACAAGATCCATTATGTCAGAATCCTGAAACCTTCCAATTTGCGTACTTATTTTTTCTTCAAATAATTCCTGCGATGCTACACGATCTCTTGGAAGGTGTTATGAAGAAAGACTCCATATTTCACAGCAGTGTTCTGATAGCAATAGCACACCTTCACAATGGCTTAGATAAAGCGGGTTTAGACAATCTGAGGGCCTTTTAGCGTTGTTTTGCTTACGAACTGTACAACCCTGATCGACGTTCACGACACTTCTACTACTTTTTGACCCGTACAAGGGCCAGCACTAAATACGAGCACAGGTAAATTTCACCAAATCGAACCACAACAAAATCGATTAATGGCTATCTAAGAGGCAGAAGTGTCCAATATGGTCATTGGAGAAGCAGTTCATAGCTTTTCAAGAGATCAATGCTGATTTTCTACCTGAAAACGCTCGAATAGATGTTTTCGCTTCTATTGAAAGCACCAAAACGTTTCAGTATTTCTTATTATAACGCACACATGGTACTCTCATATTGCTATTGTCATTATTAAACATTCTTCATTAACTTTTTAACTTTAAACTGCTTTAAAAAACTCGTTTAAGGTGACAGCAAATGCATGATGTTCTGGTAATATATGGAAAATACAGCACGTACTCATCGTGAACAAATACTATTCTATAAGTAAAATAGAATTCATTACATCCAGAGAGGGAGTCCCGTTAACAGTTGAACAAAATCATAAAGAAGGAACAATAGAGAATGAATGGTAATTAATCGGACAAAAGGAGATAGTATCCTAAAAGTCTTATAGAAAACGGATGAAAGATAGTCTTACGAGCCTATAGACCAATGACCAACTCCCAGATACAAAGTTTAATGCCAAAACACTGACTACTTTTCTAAGATTGAAAAGCTGTTTCGATTACCACGATATCACTGTTGTGCTGAGAAACTATTTTTTGGGAGAATATCTGTCTACCTATGAAGCCATGACTGTTTATTAAGTATCTCAGGAAATAAGACCCACCCATTACCCATTATAGGCATGGCGGCGGCCGCGACGGTGGTGGCTACACTTATAGAACGTAAACTACGAGGGCTCTATTTTTGTTCATAAGAACCCGAGCACGAGTAAGTTTAAACCTTTCGTTTTACTTTATTGGGAGGCTGAGCAACGCTTTGTGCATGGTTTCGTCACCATGTGGGCTACATATCTGGAAATACAAGAAGTTCGAAAATGCTTGTTTACCCTATTTAATCATCATCGCCTTCCTTGTGATTGGTGCATTTTAACAAATTTTTCGATTGCTATTTATCAGATGTCATCCACTAACCAGAAAGAGTGACTTTTTAGATAGATGTATTTATGTATAAATATAACTATACGTATATATAACTCTGGCATTATATCATTACTAAATACCAAGTGGTTGAATAGATATTTAGAAGCGCTGTGACCGTCAAAAAAGATACGGGGGCGAGAGAGAATTGCACTGTATCTCAGTTATTTGCGTTACGTTTGGGCGGCAGAGGCATTTGGCCGGATTGGTAGAGAAGAGTTACTCAAGCGACTGACACCACCAACACCATCATCGCTGCTGCCATGAGCCATCATCCCCAAGCCCAGTTGAGCACCGGTTGGCAACGAGCATAGACGAGGGAAGCAGCACCAGCATCTCTCATGAACGAGCAATCGCCCTCGAGAAAGTGTCCTCCTTTCCCACTTAGACCTAACGGACGATCCGGCCGTTCTCTGTGTAGATCGGGTGGTTAACCTGTCGACCGGCTCAGAGTATACCACTCGTAAGCACACGACACTTAGTGCAGTTCCGTCGGGAAAAGGGTGAACGGCGACAACTGCAGGAAGAAAAGCTAGGCAAGCCGACAAGGTAAGGAAACAAAACTAAAGAAAGAAAAAAGAGTGCGTTCTTTTGCTACTGGTTCAGACGTAATGCAAATTGTATGTTGGATCAGTGACGAATGTTGTTCCGACGTCGTAGTGCGCTTTTTTGTTGTCCTGTCCGTGGCTGTAATGGACCTTAAACCGCTTGTTGTTACTTCACCTATCCGGCTTACAGTATACAATAGTACAACCGTTCAATAAATTTGCTAACACGACGCGCACTTCTATCCAGGCGCAGCAAGAAAAAAAATGTAATGTATGTTCCGCAAAACTTAGAAAGACCAACCGAAAAACTTCGGAATTTTATTACGCGGTTTTTGCACGTAACATACTCTGTCTTTGCTTCTTAGGGCCGTCCCCCTACCGCCATATCTGCGCGCCGTGATGTTTATGAACATTTGAAATTGAAATAGCAGTTACACTTGATCTGTTTCTGAGGCCTCAATTAAGACGTTGAGTAAATACAAGACTACGTTGCCTCCCCGAATAACTTCCGTGGTTTATCCGTAACGTAGTGTATAAAAGGAAACATGACGACTACACTGAAGTTTCTTATACGTGCTCGGTAGATTTCTGCTGCGGCAAAATTTCGAGGTGTGCAAATCCGTAGAAATTTTAGGCAGTGACTCGTACAGCTTGGCGTACCCCAACAAAAGGAACCGATCCTGCATGTGAAGCGCTGATGAGTTTGTTCTGGTCAGCGAACTGATGTTGCTGGTGACTGCCAGGCTTTGGTGGGTGTCGCTGAACGCCGAATTCGGTTAACCGAACGAAGCAAACAGCTTCCTACGACCGCTTTCTAATGTGATGACACGAACCAGCCTTATTGTTGACCACCGCCCTAAGGCGTACCCGATACGCGCAGGGCCTGAACGCAAGAGGACTGACCGCCTTACCAAACGAGTACCGATGCCAAGATGGCTGTTGGGTCGGACAACCCGCAGAGTAGGATCAGAAGAGCATCCGCGGGTATATAAGAACCTCTCACCAACGTTGTATATAGATGGTGCTTCAGATTAGTCGGGTGCATATACATCCGGCGCATCGCATATTTCTTTTAATCTTTCCGCGGACGAGCGATATCCACATAAACAATAGCGTTCTTTTCATTGTTGAATGGATGAAGCACATGTCTCGTTTTGAATTTATCGCATTTCTATGCATCGTTTCTCTTTAAATGTATCTATTTTTTGCTTATTCATGGCACAAAAGCAATAAAAGACTATTTCTAAATCTAAACTAATCCTTTATAATCATAGAAGATCAAGCAAAGTTTTTTATTCACTTTTAAGCACAAGAGCGACGCGGTTCATAGTGAGTGACATCATAATCATGCCTCGTAAGTTTCTAACCTTTCTATAGAAAGCAAGCGTTTTACGAATTAAAGGTAGCTTCTTTCCAGGCTCATGAGAATAGCTAAGTAACCCATGTGACCTACCATCATGCTATGTATAGCCATTCCCTCCGAAGAAGACATGGAACTTCGGTTAGGGCAGTTAACATCATGTTCTTAGTTAGCACGATTTAGGGTAAAGATATTTGGCAGACGCTAGCAGCCAAGCTTGCTACCAAAGAGCAACAATAATGGCACATTTATAATAGTGAGCTCTTTATAGTGTTATCATTAGAAAGCGACCTGATATATCTTTTGAAATGAAGGAAAAGATAAAGAACATGTGAAACGGTATCCTCGATGTCTTTGCCGAGAGTCAACTCATAAAGTTGCTCTTCTTTTGGGAGATGTTTTGGTGTACTTCTAGAGTAAATAATTTGTACAGGTTATCTGTCACGGCGAGTCAAAAACTCCAGCAGCTGCCGCACGACAAAAATGCGATCCCATTTGTCGAAAATAGAATTGTCGAAAAATTCTAATAGATATTACATCAAGTTGTCTATATGTTAAAAAAAAGCCTCCGATAGTAGCGGACATTTGGATGGGATCAGTGATTTATCACTCGTAATCTAAATTAGCCCTTAGAAAGTCATCAGGTTTAGTGATTTGACAGATTTGTAGGTTTTGAGTTAATGATGATGACACGTCAATCAACGCTGAATAAAATAGGCTTTTGCTAAGACGGCGTGGATACCTGTAAGTTCAGCTTTCAAGCCCCATCACAGTATAAGGCTTACGTGGTGCTTGATATTGTCCAAACAAACTTAGAAAGAAATAGTTTTTAATGGACCCAGACAGGAAATAAGCAGCGTAGGTATCTTGTTTTTTACGAACTGCGCGAGGCTTAATAAGTTTTGTCTATCCTCTATGATTAGCGTATTATGCTATTAGCTAGATCTTCATAGTTATGTCTGTATATGCTTATGTACGTGCGCACACCTTCGGAGATGTTCAAATAACGACTTCAACTTAAACACAATTATAAGTGGTGACAAACAAGCCATTATCCTCCGTAAATGATTGTTAGGTTTTTAGCTAATATAGTTCGTTGAAATATTATCATTATAAAATTAGATGTGAAATGCACTAGAATAGATGAAGCAAGAAATCTCTTTCGCGATATCTCAGAAAGTGGACTGTCAAAGTTATGCTACTCAAGAAAGCTGTGGCCTGCATGCTCATGCAAAAATATTTAAACTAAACAAAAACTAAATACTACATCGGAAGCCACTGAGTTACTTCTTCGAATTAAACTCTCACTACAGCCATCTGCTCACCCGATAAGCCAATCAAATTGGCGTAATATGGAATCCAGTTATTCTCTATTAATAAGGAAGGGTTTACGAAAAGAACAGTGTCAATAAAAGTTGCATGTATTTAGAACTAAATTACCTTGTAAAAAGTTTAGTCGAATGGTTAAGGCAATAATTTCTCACAGAAACGCTTGCGTAGAAGATTATAAAATTTAGAATAATGATATAATAAATAATAATGATAAATACAGATTATAAATTTAGAATAATAATAAAGAAAAATAAAGAAGGTAATAAAGTTCGCTTTTAAGTTGAATAGGTAGACGTTGGTGATCTTTGTCACCTTACTGTAAATTACCTTCTGCTCAACTAATCATGAACTGAAAGTGCCTATCATTTAATATATTGGCGAGACGAAATCCCCTTGACAATTTGAAAAAAAGTTGTTTAAAAGCTTTTATTTTGCCTCTTTAATTATTATTTTTATTATGTTTTACTCTCCTTCTACTTAATCACATATAAATCTTTCAAACTACCAAGCGACTTCTTTCCTACTATGTTCGTTGCTCATAATGCTAGAAGGGTTTGTGATAGAAGACGCCGTAAATTTATCACGTTTTTGACAAAATAACATAGTATGTTATGCATGTAATTAGTTGTCATGAGCCTATAAGTTTACGGTAGGAAACGAAATAATGATCACGATTAAAGTACAATGCTGTTTTTGTACACGCCTCAATGAAGCTATGTTATTTTTATTATATCTGTGATTCGAAAAACAGTAAGCAGAATTAACAACATTACTCCCTTATTATGGCTCTGTGTTAGATGGCGCTAAGCAAGGAGCAGCAAAAGAAGGACGCGGAGATGAAACGGAATCTTGATGAAGATGCAGTGTGGAAACGCATACAGCAGAGCACATTCCTGCGGTGGGTGAATCAACACCTCTCACAAATAAACAAGACTATAGCTTCACTTGAAACGGATTTTGCAGACGGAATTCGATTTATTGCTCTGCTCGAAGTACTTTCGGGTAAAAAGTGTCCGTACAAATTTTCGAAGCGGCCAACGGTGCGTGGTCAGAAACTTGAAAATGTCTATGTCGGCCTTAAGTTTCTCACCGACGATGAAGGACTTAAACTAGTTAATATAGGTAAGTAACTGAATGTTGAAAGGTATAATATTGTGACTGGGGAGATACTCGGTATTTAAGTATATTTCATTGATTTCATCGACACTTGCGTCTTCACTAGTTAAGTAGAATGACAGAGTTTTCCACCACCTATAATTTGACTTGAAATGATATATTCTCTTTTACCATCCAACTTCACACATTTAATATTTTAGTAAATTCGTTTTAACCTAAAATCATATTCTGAAATAAAGTTTACCATCTTTTTAATCGTCCAACTCTTTTGAGGTACTGCCTTTAGCTTGAGATATGTAGCGTTCTCTAATCAATATTTTTAGTGCAGTTCCCTTACATTTACGAACCGATCATTTAAAATGCGACCCGTACATTTACAAAAGACATCTTAAATGGACGAAAATTTAAAGGAGTAATGCGCACTCTATCAGCAGATACAACGGCGTCATCTTGACTGGCGGAATTATGCAACAGCGTCTACAACAAAAAGAATCGGCAAATTTGCATAATAATTTGCACTATATTCTACAACAGTATAGAAAGAATTATTACAGCATCATTTTGTGTCTCTTATGCTCTGTGCAACGAAGATTTCATTTGTGCGTAAACAATATACAATGTGTAGCCGTTAGTTTGAACACAGCGCCAATCTTTGGGGAATCTTGATTGAGGAAAAGACATTTTGTAACGCCTGCGCACGCTGAATAGATTTAAAATTCTCGGCTTTAGCTTCTCGTCAGTAGTATCCTGCCTCAACATTAAAAATGGTGTTTCGTAGCTTGGAACAGACTAAAACTAACAGGACGTAGGGCAGCAAAACACCTAGGAACAGGCAGCTATAGCAACACCTCTGATAGTATGGGAACGGCTAGTTTTCGCCTTACCATCTCAAGCCACATGCCTTTAGCGATGCTTGCTGTTTTCGTGTGGGACTCGCGCTTGTGGTTGCCCGCACCCAACTCAGTTAATTGTTTCTAAATACTCCTTCACCTGTTTACTCTACTACAAGCATTTTAGGCCTAACGATGTAGATCGTTCTACACGCGGTCATGTTTTACTAATTCCTCACTTATCAATTTGCAACTTATTACTAGGCTATTGTTAACGAAGAAGAGATGCTAACATTCTTTTCAAGCTGGAAGGACGTCAGCAACTTTATTTATTACTAAATAATTTATATAAGGGTTGTGCTATTCATTTTTAAAAATGTGTTAATTTGCGTAGTAATAGTAATAAATTGCCAAAAGTTATTTTAATAAATAGGACCAAAGCAAAAGCTAACCGCAAACAAATGTGTGTGCTTGGTATAAGATATAATACATTTTATAGATATCCATCGGACCCTGTGATGTTTTTACATATACTTAAGTATAGCTTTGGTTCTCTTCTTAGTTGACAGCCCAATAATTCCTGATAGAAAACGTCTATACAATTAAAAAAACTCGTTTAATGATTAGTCGTCGAGAAAATCAAGCTCGAGAGAGGCGATAACATCTCGTAGATATTAGTTCGCCTAATGACTCATGTACTGTCTATGCAGAAAGCCTGTAGAAAAATAATAAAAACAAAAATTTGTACATACTACATCGAATATAGGCATTAAACAAATTTATTTAATTCCTGGCTGCTTAGTCTTCAGGCTTCTCCGGAGGCGGTCCACACGGCTGAATCATTTTGCGCATGAGATTAAAGCGTACTCGTGCCTTAGTTTCATTCTCAGCTATCGCAAACAAACTGAGCAGATTTTCGTGACCCATATATGAAGCGTAGGCGTCACGTTGTTGATTGACAAGCCACTCAAATTTTGTTGTGTCAGCATGTCCCGTACCGATGTATTTCGATTGTAAATGCTCCAATTGTGAATGGATATTGTAGCGCTCTGCCATTGCTAGGATTTGCCACAATATCTTTTGCCACCGCCACCGTTTCACCTAATCACACGAAACAAAATAATTCCACAACTGTACTTGTATGTGGTGCGAGACACCAATAAGAATGAGAGTTCTGCGAAAAAACGCCAGAAATAGAATATTCTATTGCGGAATACATATTTGCAATTGTTATCCATATATTTGATTTGAACTACATTGGGACATATATTGGTAGAATACAACGTCTGTGATACGACTGCACAGGTGTAGGTAGATTCTCACATCTTATACAGAACCTCTAGGCTTGAAGACAATGACGCTTCTACCGTTCAATGATTACAGCATCACTTTCACTGACGAATTACACTGTAACCGTTGTTTACAATTACGCAGAACAGACTTGAATGTTGGTAGAATATACTTACGTGTTTATGGTGAAAAAACAACCAGTCTCACTATCTAAAAATTGTGTTTAGTTAGTGCAGGCACATAACAACAACAATGATGACTGTGATCACTGCCATCTGCCAGTCTCTGTCGTCCGCGTGCGTTGGTCGTCATGAATGAGCAACAATACCGAATAGACGCGGACAGATGCACTTCGTCAGCATCGAATCCGCTTTCCTAATTGGTCCTTATATGCGTGATGAGGCGAGAAGCGAAGCCGCGAATTTAGCTGAGCTTAGTCAGTTGAGACAGTCGGCATAGCTTTGCTTAGACTGGCAATAGATCTTATATCGTCGGCTAATGCGTGCTAAGCGTAGGTGTGACCATTGGCGTTACTTTGCTTTACTCATGTACGATAAAACAACCAAAACTTCTGCGGTTTTCTAGAAAACTTGGCGAAGCGCAGTTTGTCGACTGGTTTAAAAGGCAGATATCTTGGCTGTACACGGTCTAACGCATTTAACGCTTAGGGGAAGAGTCAAGCTAGAAACCCTCTTTTCGGTAAGGCGCTGACACAGTAAGGCAATGATTGTCGCACAATCGGCCAAAGTAAAAGGCAGCTGAGAAAGACTATAGAATGTTTGAAAAGTTGCGTTGTCCACTGGCAGAACGGCCAGTCTTTAAACAATTTGTTTCCAAAACTATCTGTAATATGATCCTATTCCTTTTATTTTTTTTTAAATATTCGTATAACGATTCGCATCTAAATAAATAAAAAAAAGACCGTATTATAAAAGAAGTTGCTGTTGAATCACGTAAGTTGAACCAAATCTTTAACAAACTTGCGAGGTTTCAGTCAAAGCTAATCGTTTAAAAGGTACTTTTCATTTTTTACTTAATTACATAGCTAAATAAAGAAGCGTACGAGCATTGAGCAACGCAAACTTACCCCTCAAACGTCAAAAATTGACTTCGCTCCATTTTTCTAGCACCCTTTATATAGGTCGTTATTTAATCACATTTTTAGTGTAGGATATGCCTTTGACGAGGTTTCAATGGATGATTCCAAGCTTACTTAGCCAAAGCGTATTGTGACGGCGAACCATATTTTGTATAACATAGCCAAGTAGAAGGGGGCAATAAAACAGATTTAAAAAAATTAATAAAGTAAGATGGACCCTTTGTGTCGATTTGAGATGGCAGATGCCTGTAATTGTCGAAGCTGTTATACAAAACTATACAAGACTAATCATAAGAACTAAAACATATTTGACGGATACTATTTCTGCTCATTAGTCACGGTATTATGAATGCAAATATGTTTATGTGTGATCGTATGTTCAGATACTCATTTTGGGTAGAGAGACGACTGAGCCCAGAATTAGGACCAATAATCAATGCTGACTGAACTAGAACAAGAGTAAAATCTCAATATTTTGCATATTCAGCGAGGTATGCGAATTGAATTTTACATTATCTCGGTGTGTGAACTATATTTTTATGCATAACCTCACTATATTTTCAGCAGTTATTTTTATAAAAGCTAGCTTATTTGTGTATAACAAAGGCAGATTCCATATATGTGTTTATTAATAACTGCATATACCCACATATTAGAGTATATGTTCCAGCTTTTCTAGATGAAAGCAAAAATTCAACACACGTCAAACGAGCATCGCTGCCAAATAAAAATATGTATTTGCAATGTAAATACCATTTCTTGTAATTTTCTTCTAAAGCCTCTGTTTTGGTAATGGTAGAACATTTTGGAAAAATAGTAGAATTTGTTTCCATTATGGATTGGTTCACTGTTCCAAAACTGTTCGAACTGGATTCAACGAAGCATTTTACGCAAAGAAACGTTTATGTGTGCAAGCATTTGGGAGACGAACGGTCCACTGAAAATGGACCTCATTTTTGTTCAAAAAACTGAATTTTGGTAGTTGAAAGCATCCGAGAGAGATGATAGAGAAAATTCGCCCTGCCCAGAGAAGGTGACGGTTTCCGGCGTTTCGGTTCGCATATGAGGTAGCATTATTTTACTGCGAGTGGGTTGTTGGAGGGTTTTGTAGTACGTTTTAGAGAATGGGTATACTTAATATAAAGAGATGCATTTCTGACATCGATTGTGCTTGGTTTTTTGACGTCGTCAGAAAGCTGCATGGGCAGCCGTAGACGTTTGTGCCGTGTACATCTGACATATGACTTTACGACTGAGAGGACTGCTAGAAGAGGTTTTCTAAGTTGAAGAATGTCATCTTGAATGTATCATATGAGTGCAATGTAGACCGGCTAAATCATATGGGGAACTCGGCTACTCACTAACGTTCGACACCTCACCTGCCATCCATTGAGAAACGCGCACCCACAATGACCGGTTTCTACAAAAGTGATTATTGGTGACGAGGGGTGGTGTCGCCACGTCGATATGAAGCAGAGAAATTAGTTAGTTAATCAGTAAGGCGATTTTCGGCCCAGAACTAGGCCAAATTTTCGTTCCAAAAAGATTCTAGCTTACAGTTGACAGCACTAGAACGGTCTTTTGAACTGCGAAAATCCTAAGAAAGACAAGATGACCGGCGGAGGTCTGTACTTAGTTCAGCCGCATCGATTAAATGACGCTATCCAAGAGCAGCGACACGGCAGATAAGGCAGTGCCATCCCTCTTCATGGTAATGCCAGGCCACACAGGGAAAAAATCGTTCAAGAACTTACATGGCTGCAAAAAAATCTTTTCTGATCATTAGCAAATAAAAAAACGGAACTATGCATTCATGAACAGTATCATAAAGGTGTACTGGACAAATTCTTTAATACTTGACCTGAAACAGAAAAGAAGTTAATACATTGGCATAGAGACGGTAGGAATCATGGAGGGTGACGGCGAACACGTAATAAGAACATCCTTTGTTTTGAAGCTTTAGTGGAACGTCGCATTTTGTGTTAAATGAAAATATTTCCTTCGTAATTGCGACAATCCACCGAATCCATAGGACGTTAATAAATGTATGATTTTTTCACTTCCTCTATCTCTTCGTTGCTCTAGCAAAGCTGACAAATTATCACAGAATTGCAGCAGAAATTGATTAAAAAAAAAACAACAGTTATGGGTTAAGTCAAGATAAGATATTAAACCAAACTGGATTACTGCAAATAGTCATCTAACAATCTGTTGTTGTACTAAGATAGGTGTTATAAAGTTTTGACGACATAGCAAAACAAACTCCCTTAAATAGGGGGAGAAACATCGCTACTGAGCGGAAACTTCCGGACAACTTTCCGGACGGAAAATTCCGGTAACTTTCAGACAAACGCTATACTATACCGTTATATTATGTACTACAGGAAGCTGCACCTACTCTAAATTTTCAGTTTCAAGATGATGAATCGGGGTCGACACTGGATATGTTTGAAAAGATGTTTATTCATTGTCGTCAATTAAAAAATTGTCATTGTTTCAAGGGAGTTTGGTTTTAACAAACTGTTTTCTTTTAAATAAATTTGGATGCGATTTTTGTTGACAGATTCATCGGACATTGTCGACTGTAAACTGAAGCTTATTCTCGGTCTTATATGGACCTTGATTCTGCATTATTCAATTTCGTTGCCTATGTGGGAGGGCGACGATGAAAATTTGCTGGAAGGCAAGGCTAAAACCCCCAAGGATAGGCTACTTAAATGGATTCAGTCTAAGGTAATGTGATTTTGTGTTTATTGAATTTTCATAGCGACTTTTGTATTACTATGGTGTGAATAATTCACAGCATTGATCAAATATGTGAGCAAACGTAGTTGTAGTGATATATGATGGTAACTATAGTTTTTTTTGCGTATTTTTTTTGCGAGAACTCCTGTGACAAAGATAGTGATTATAGCTTCGAAGTGATACAAGATAAAGCAGTATAAGAGGTTTTCCGATTTTATTATAGATTCCTGATAAATCAGTAAAAAATTTCACTAAGGATTGGAACGACGGCACGACATTGGGTGCTCTCGTTGATGCATTGGCACCTGGACTTTGCCCCAATTGGCAGAAGTGGGATCCCAAGGACGCGCATAGAAATATTAAGGAGGCTATGGATGCTGCCGAGAAGTGGCTGGATGTTGCCCCGGTTAGAGATAAATACTAGACTTATTATTAAATGTTATTTGGATCCGATTGTATTTTTGATCAAATGTCTCATTTTATGCGCAATATACTGTAACTAGTAGAATATACACCTATCCGTAAATATGTCATATGCGCAGGTACTTGATAGCTTCATCATAAAACTGTAGTAAATATGTATCCGACGGGAGAGTTAAGCCTAGACGGGACAAGCTGATAACTTTTAATTATAATTTGCAGCTTATCGATCCCGACAGCATGGCGAACCCAAAGGTTGACGAACTGTCAATGATGACTTACTTATCGCAATTTCCCAACGCTAAACTAAAGGATGCTGCGCCCCTCAAGCTTGAGACCAACCCAAAAAAAGTACGCTGTTTCGGGCCCGGTATTGAGCCGAAGGGGGTTACATGTAGTGCACCTACCAACTTTACGATTGAGACATTTGGTGCCGGTGAGGGAAACCTTGAGGCCTGGGTTGAAGACGACAAAGGAAACAAAACAAAGGTGCTTTTAAATCAGGATCTTATATAGATATTTGACTGAAATCCTGAACGGCGACTTTAGTTCCAAAAAGTTTTCCTCTGGTCGTTTGTTCTTGCTTGCAGCAAGCGGAAATTATCCAAGGATCACGTGTTCGCGAATTTAATTGACGTTGGTAATTTGTGTCACATATTTTATTGATATATTCTCAAATCTAAATCAATTTATGTTACTTGATTGATTAATCATCGTGTTTTTATGTATTTCTTTTATATATGTATGACAACCGTACGTTCTGCTGCCCACAACAATAATGTTGATAGGTTGATATTAAGTTGGAGGATGAGGGAAAGAAACGCTGGAAAGCAACTTATACACCGAAAACTCAAGGCCCTCACAATGTGTTCGTCAAGTTTGCCGGAGTGGTAGTGCCCAAAGCACCATTTGCCGTCAACATCGAAGGAACTCCAGGAGATCCGAAGAAATGCGTGGCTTTCGGTCCTGGTATCGAACCCAAGGGTCGGCCTGCCGGCAAACTAACATACTTCGATGTCACGACGAAAGGTACGAGCGTTTGTTTATTTAGTTCGAGTTATGAAGCCATATATCTTACTAACCTAACTGTATCGGGGCAGCGCGTGATGGTAACTGAGTATAAGTTTAGTCGATATTCTTGAATATACTTGTTGAATGAGTACTTTCATGAACTTGCTTTTTCAGGGGCTGGATTTGGTCAGCTTGAGTGTGTGATCACAGATCCAGATGGCAAAACAGCGAACGTACCTATGAAGCTGGTCAAGGTTGCAGATAACCAATACAAATGCGAATATTGCCCCGTTAAGCCAGGTCCTCATACTGTACAGGTTCTTTTTGCTGGCAAACCCATTCCCAAGGCTCCGTTTAAAGTCAACGTTGGAAATCGTTAGTATTTAGTATTTTTTTTTACCAACGTACTCTACAATTAAAACTAAATGCACAACCCTTGAGAATTTGTGAAAAGCTTGGATACGGTTGTTTGTATTGCCCAAATTTGGTCTGGAAGTTTATAGACAGATCAACTAAAGTCAAAAATGGTATCGAGCATCCTGAGATTACAACAACGTTTCAATGGTAGAGCGGCACTAATCGTACGGGATCTGAGTTTGGTGAAATGACGCCGCACGCACGGTCGAAGGTTGATTTAATATGTACAAGTGACGTAATATTTATTATTATTACATATATTATTAATATTATTAGTTCAGCGGTTTTCAGTATTTAGATATATGCTGTGTGTTAGCGGCAAAGTAACAACTTTGCTGGGACATTTCGTCTAGCACAAAAATATAAGATAACTGCACCAAGGTAACACGCGAGAGTAAGGAATTTATTGAATCAAGGAGTATAATTACTTTGACGCGATAATTGCAGTGGGATAACATGATTAATTCAACTATGTTTCAAGTAAATATTAAAGCACACATATATGATAACTACAGCCGGGCAGCTGAACTGTTGCAATATCCTAAGAAGAGAGCAGGATGAAAACTGCAAATAAATTTATTGCAGGACAATTGCAGAAAACAACGAAATTTGCCTCACAGAACCTTTAGGGTATTGCAACCGGACGGCTGAAAAGGTGTAGGCCTGCAAGCGAGCTTTTCTATATGCTTTAAGTCTAAATGCGAAGTCGATCAAATGCCTTGGATCTAAAATAGGGTGATATCTAGGTACAAAAAACTAATGTTAGGTAAAACATAGCAATCGCAATGAAATAACTGTACTAGACCTTTGCTTCACGTTAGGCAATATGTAAAATCAATGAACAAGTTTAGCTAAATCAATCAGCGCGAAATTCGCGGACCCATATACATATATATGGGTCCGCGAAGATGTTCGCAGGTTTATCAATTTCAATTGAGGCCGACTGTACGAATCTTTCTATAAACTACTTTGATATATAGTAAAACATCTCTTGTGCATACTACTACGTGCGAGATATTTTAATATGTTAAATGCATTCGTACGGTCACATAGCATGCAATACTTTTCCGTGCATTTTACTCGTTGTGCACGTTTTCCTTAAATTAATCGATGTTTTGTCATAAGTTTGACTTTGGTACCACCAGAGTGGATCTGTAGCATCATATCACAGGGTCGAGAAGGAGTACGCATTTTAGTCAGACGCGGTTTGCTTAAACACAGAACACTTTACTATAAAGATACTCATTATATTACCGTTATCTTAGCACGGAATTTATATACCACCTACAATATCAAGGCCACTCACTTTTGTTAGCTTAGGAGCTCGAAACTGTTACAGCAGTAGAACAGGCAAAACTATAGTAATCTTCTTAATCATTTGTAGCGTGCAACCCTCGTCGGGTGAAGGCCTCAGGCCGTGGTCTACAGAAGAAGGGCGTGCGTGTACAAGACATTGCCGACTTCAGGGTGCTTACCACCGACGCTGGGGACGGAAACGTAGAAGTGGAAGTAACAGGTCCCGATGGTAAGCCTGTGCCTGTAGAAATTGTGCAGAACAAAGAGAATCCTGACCGCTACGATGTCAGTTACAAACCTCTCGCAGAAGGACCCCACAAAGTAGTCATTAAGTATGGCGGAGACGAGATTCCCAAATCCCCCTACGAAGTCGGAGTTGGTCCCTACAAGGAATCTAAGATCATAGCCTACGGACCCGGTCTTAAAGGAGGTATCACCGACAAACCTGCGAAGTTCATTGTTGATACTAATGGAGAAACGGGCTCTCTCGGCTTCTCCATTGAAGGTAAGATATTTTGTTTTCCGTATGCATCTGTATTGACTTGTAGTAGTTATAATTAACAATAAATATTATATCTTCTTTTATAGCCTTTACATTACAGTACAAATTATTTCTTGAGTACAGCTCACTGTTACACGGAGATCACATAATACTTATAATATGCATAATATAGTCCGCATATATTACTCATCTGAGAAAATAAGAGATAGAAAAGATAAACGTATTCTCAATAGAGATCATAGACTTTACGGTAAGAAGTTATTCTCATATCACTTTTTTTTTTATTTAGGTCCATCAAAGTGCTCCATCCAGTGCGAAGATCTTGGTGATGGATCTGCCGGTGTGACGTACACGCCAAGTGCACCTGGTGATTATGTGATTCATATTCTGTGCGATGGGGAAGATATCCCCAAGTCGCCGTATGTGGCCACTATTGACACAGAGATGGAATTCGATATTACAAAAGTGAAGGCGTTCGGCCCCGGCCTTAGCCCAGGGGTGCAGCAGGATAAACAAGTTGAATTCAGCGTTGATTGTAAAGCAGCCACTGCCAAACCTGAGAGCGATCCTAAAGTCACCGTCGAAATTCACAACGAAAACTATGAACCCATACCTGTGACTATTAAATCAAATAAAAATGGAACTGTAACTTGTTCGTATAAGCCGAAAGATGACGGCAAATACACCGTGTGCGTCAACTACAATGGATGCGCCGTTCCCGACAGCCCCTTCAAGGTTCTCATGATTTTCATTTGGGCGCAGATGAACTTCATTAATTCGAAGCATTATGATTTCGGAAAGGGAAAGACTTCATTGTCGTGGTATCTAGAGGTTTCATTAGTTGGGAAAAAAGGTTTTGAATAACCATGGAGTGGATGTTCTAGCTTTTCCAGTTTTCACGAGGTCAGCTGTTTCTCGTTTAGTATAACTGCAAAATCGTGCGGTTCTATATTGCATTTGTTAAATTTTCCATTGGTTTTTTCTGCACTTTTTGATTAGTTATAAATAAAATAATAATTGTATTTTCTCGATTTTCAGGTCGATGTGGCTGCTAGCGCTGACCCCATGAAGGTTAGAGTCTACGGACCAGGTATTGAAAAAGGAGTGAAAAGCAGCACGTCTACGAAATTTTTCGTCGATTGCAAAAACGCAGGGTCTGCTAAGCCCAAAGTCAAGATGGTCAACGAAGACGACGAAGATGTCAAGGTTAAAATCGCAGATAACAAGGATGGTACCTATACCTGCGAATACAAAACGCCAACACCCGGAAATCACTTCGTAAGTACTCGAAACTATTCATAGAATGCACTTTCTATGCAGAAACCTTCGTTCAGTTGTCAATAACGATAGGTTATTTAATAACTGACGCGAGATTTTAACTCATGTCAGCCTCCGTATTAGTATTTCGCAAACGTACGCTTTACTGCTGCTATTCATTATTCTGCCTGTTTTTGTAGGTGTAACCGTTATTGTTTCATATTTTAACAGATTACTGTCGAACAAGGCGGAAAACCTGTGCCAGGTTCACCATTTAAGGTTCCTGTAGAACCGCACATGAGCACTAAGGACGTCGTCGTCACCGGACTTCAGCCCGTTGTGTTCACGAACTCCTTCAATGAGTTCCAAGTGGATACCTCGAAGTTACCAAAATCTGACGAACATAAAGTGGAATGTACAATCGTTAAGTCAGATGGGTCTAGACAGGCTGCCAGGGTCGAGCCCCTTGGCAAGGGCAAGTTTAAGGTTACGCATGTTCCCAAGGATACTGGTCAGTATTTGGACACTTACACACGTCTAAATGAATAGATCATATTAGAATGTAGATACAATATCTCTTATACTCTGCTCTTATATCTAGCAAGCGTAAATGTGTCATGGGACATTTACGTTAGTTTTTGCTGCCGTGACAGCGACACGAAAGTGGACATCTAGATTTATTAGTTACATACAAAGTCAATCATGAGACGTCACCATCGATAATAATTCTATAATGAAACTTAAGCGACATGGTAGCAGCATATGATATTTATCATTTTAACGTTATCGGAACACAAAATACTCACAAGCGTCGATCACACTAAGAGCTAAAACGTCCCCAAAAAGGTCTGCACAACTCTATTTACGTACGCATATATACGCGTATTAAACGTAAAAGTAAACTATGTAAATAAACGTATTAGGAAAATGAGAAGGACATTATTTCTAATTTAAGGGACGCTTGAATAAATCAAGCCGCAAACGTAAAGCAAGTCAGCTTGGACGTTACCTTAAATATAACTATTCCAGCTTTGAATAACCTTACGTGGTTACAATGAGAAATAGCCAAAAAGCATTGAATGAACAGTAAAGTTAGCCCAACGATATTTAATACGGTAAAGTCCCGTTTGGCGTTCGAGCAGGTTCGCGAGTGATTCTTATTGAATATTTAACTGTTTAACCGGCTGACTGCTAATATCGCAGCAGACCAGTTGAAAAGCTTGAGGTTGAACTGATGGCGACAGGGCAAAGTAATTACAGTGGCTTCCCCAAAAGACATCTGCCCTCAAGGAAGAACATGCTCTGAAAAAGCTGTTGCTATTAAAATCAATAAAATAATAATTTCCACATTAATAAAAGCCAACAAGCTAAACAAAGTCTTAATAAAATAAACTGAAGAATAGCAGATTCTTCGTTTAATATATATATATATATGTATTGAAGTCCCGTTAGCATAGATACTACGAATTAATCAACCATTATTGCAATAATGGGAAGTACTTCGTATACGGTCTGTTTCTTCTAAACAGTTACTTCATGCTTAAAATGTGCCTGATTAATATACAAGTTGCTACACACACAAGCGTTCCGTTAAGTACGGAAATGAGCCGTACGACACAACTTGCGATACATAATCCTTGGATAATAACTATTACTGCGTTTTTAGGCTCCTGTAAGTATAAGGTGACTGTCGATGGTATCCCTGTGCCTGACAGTCCCTTCCCGGTCAAAGTAGAGAGTGGCTGTGATCCCTCTATGGTTAAGGTTTATGGACCTGGTATCGAGTTTGGAAAGCTTAATTCAGAAAATAAATTTACCATTGAGACGAAAGGAGCGGGTACTGGCGCGCTTGGATTGTCAGTTGAGGGTCCCACGGAAGCTAAGATGACTTGCACAGATAACAGGTACTTATTCGCATAGCCCAATACGATTTATTTAAAGACGACTAGCAGCCGGCATGCTGTAAAATTCAGAAACTGCAAAATTTTAGTAATTGTCTGCCTAATCTCGACCTATTATCTGCAAAAGGGCTTTAACACTAAAAATAATTAATTACATAGGGACAACGTAGCACAATTCTTTAGCGCTGAAGCGGAAGATGGCTGAAAATGAGTACATTTAAAATTCGATTGCCACCGTAATGCCAACAATCTAAATTTTGGTGACTTGCTTTCCTTAGGATAGGATTAGGGGCGATTAAGCATTAAGGACGAGGTAAATGCACAAAGCAAACCTGTTTAAAAAAAGCCAATATTTGCCTTGACATATAGCTTGTACTGTAGCATCAGTGAGACCTATGATCTCTATTTTTCGAAACATTTCATTGAATATATGAGGTAAATATCAATTCACAAGGTGTGATGTGTAGCGTTATGATCACTTATTCCTTTTGCGTAGAATTTATAGAATTAGTATGATTATAACAATTCAGATTATAATATCGCCTGAATACTTCCAGGGATGGTACCTGCACAGTAACGTATGTTCCTGATGCTGAGGGCATCTATCGTATTGGCGTTAAATACGGAGGTAAAGATGTACCAGGCAGCATCTTCGAGGTGCCGGCAGCTAAAGATCTTGATGTTTCTAAGGTCAAATGTTTTGGACCCGGGCTTGAAGAAGGCAAAGTACGAGCCGGAGTACCGCAGAACTTTACGGTTGATACAAAGGAGGCTGCCGGTGGTGGAAAACTTCCAGTCGTTGCGACTGTAACTTCTTCTGCTGGTGAGTACAGAATGAATTAAATTTTTAGATGTAAAAAAATAGAATGTGAGGCGATAATTTGGTTTTCTTGATGTGAGTCCGCTCTCAAATATGGGCGGTCTAACAGAGCCTTCGTTCTTGCCTTCTTTGCAAGCTCTTGCACCATCGATAGTTGTAGCGAGGTATAAAAGTTTGGGTAATTCAAGATACAGGTATAATCACTTCAAAAGCCTGTCCGTTCCAGCGACGACTAATAAAAAGAAACGGCTCGAATTGAATGCAGTACTTACTGCCTTGCTAACTAACGAAAAATTAAAAAAATTGTGTATTGACTATTCATCTTTACACAACTTACCTAGTGTTATGATACAGATACCACGCGTTAAACACCTTATTTTTTCTGCTTATGAAGATACTTGACGATAACTCAAATATATCTGTTCCAATTCTCTAAGTTAACTTAGTTTAAACCGAAAAAGCGAATTACGCTTTGCATTAGATTTTACGGAAAGTTGTCGTGAGTTCTGATCTGTGTTTCTGCATGATATAAACGGCTTCGTGCATTACGAATAAGGTCTTGAACTCGAAGTCGAGTACTGCACGATATACTTATGAATTCTAGGTGCCACAAACCTTGAGTGTAGTTTATTAGCTAGCTTCTTTTCTTGCGGGGTGAGCTACTTTTTCAGACGGTTCTGTATGTCCTGCCGAAGTAACCGATCTTGGCGACGGAAAGTTCTCTGTAGATTATATCCCGCCTGAGGATCAGAAAGCCACCTGCAAAATCGAGGTGCGGACTGCAGGTAAAGAAGTGCCGAAGAGTCCGTTTAACCTAAAGTTGAAGCCTAAGGCCGAACCGGCGAACGTCAAGATGGTTGGCACCCCTCCTAAGGAAGTCCCTTGTTCTATTCCTCAGGAGTTTGTCATTGACACGACGGAAGCTGGCGCTGGTAAACTTGACGTCGAAGTTGTGGTGCGTATTGGTTTTTATAGTTGTTTCTATAGTCATCCCGTAAAGAATCGATATTAACGTCTTGTGTAAACAGTAAGAGTATTAGCGCTGAAGTCACATGTAAAAGAGTACGGTAGACGTTAAAAATATCTAACTAAATGAATAAAGCAAACGATCTTTTTTGGCTAAATATATATTATTGCACTTAATTAGCAAACATTTGCAAATCAATTGTGTGTGTGTACTGGGTAGCTTTCAAGATAATTTTTACGGGTGTCGGTGACTAACTATGAACAGGCAAACAGCTCTTTATGAAGATCTAGTTTTCCAAATGACAACAATTGCCGAACATGAAGAAAGCAGATTAACGCAAGGATAGGCTCTCATTTAATAGAAAGTAAGGCATATTAAAGTACTTTTGGATTTCGAACAATTGAAGTGTTTAGTTCGAACTAGATATTAATAATCACCAATACTATGTGGCCATCGTTCTTCTTGGGCAGAATCCAAACGGAGAAGTTCGACCTGCCAAGACCCGCCAGCTACCCGATGGTAAAACAAAAGTTCTTTTTACTTGCGATACCCCTGGCAGAAGCAAGATTGTTACGAAGTTTGACGACAAAGAGGTCAAGCAGTGCTGCTTCCAAACTGATGCGAAGAGAGTTGGCGACCATACAAAATGCGTTCTTGACGGTTGGTATTGCTGTTCCATCCTCCATTAATTCCATACAATTGTTCCTGTATATTTCTTATTAGTCCGTATAAGCCCTTACGTATCGCGCAGAGAATATTGACTCATGCTAGCGTTTCCGTAACATCCTTAACTGAATTAAAACTTATCGAACTGATGGGATCTTCTGACTCCAGCTCACAGCCGCTGATTCTTTTATCAGCAGCAGCATGGGACGCCCATGTACAATCGAACCGTAACCTAATTCACTGTTGCTACCCTGTGATCAGAGAGCTCAGATTCGTTGAACACTTGAGCGTCATAAGCGTGAATAACAAGTTTTGCTGGTTCAACACGTGCGGCATATAGGCTAAGTTGTCCTTCTTTTTTCAGAGAATTCGATTCCAAAGGCTGTGGCCGTCGGAAAAGATTACGAGGTTAAGGTAAATACCCGCACAGCTGGTGAAGGTCGTCTGACCGCTACGATCCTAAGAAACGGGTCGAAGACCAGGAACACTGAAGAGTGCTGCGATGTGGAAACTATTGCCAATAAAGATGGAACCCAGAGTATCCGATTCAAGCTGAAGGAGAGGGGCGAGTATAATTTCGATCTTCGCTTCGGAGGAGAGAAAATTACGAAGACGACAAAAATTGTGGTAAGTGTTATCAGAAAGATTACAAAAGGTCATAATGATCTCTTTTATTTCATAATAGGCACATTTAAACATATAAAAATGTAGTTTCTTCATTTCGCCAATAATAACCCGCACGGGGCGAGTGAGTCAATTATAATTTCAGCTGCCTACTATTCGTCGAATTTCCCTCAGGTAGCTCCATGTGGAGAAAAAACCTTAGCTTCGTCAGTCGGTCCGGTATCTCTGTTAGAAAGATTCGAAATTAACTCTAGTAATGGATCTGTAAACACAGCGGGTTTAGTTTAAGCCATAGTACAGCTATACTCACTTTCTAGATTAGCGTCAACAACAGCGAGCTAAAGGTAACGATGAACTATGAAAGGTCCAGTTGTTATTAGTGATCTGTGTGAATCTGTATTAGTATTAGTAAGTATACTCGACTCGTGCAATAAGCCCTCCATTAATAATAGGAAATTTCTGTCTACTCGAGCAATGAGTTGACACCACGTTTGTGGGCAGTAAAAATTAGAGGCCGTAAAATCGCGCTGGTGATTCTTGTTTCGAGTAGGATATTTTCCAAATATCTTTTTACGCGAAGCCGTTCGTCGTCTTGGCACAGGAATCGGCAACATATTATAGATCGTTGGAGAGAGTATAGGGGCTTCTTTTCAATTTATTGGCTTTTAGCTGCATCAAACAAGTCGATGCCATAAACCTATTATGTTTTCTACTATAATTTAAGCTTACGAAGCTGCGAAGTATAAGAACGCATCTGCAATATTGAAATCTTTTATATAAAACGGCTGTAATTACATATAGGCTATAAGTTACTCGTAGTTGAGTTCGGTGTTTAATGCAAGCATCGTTTCTAGTGTTGTTCACCAGCCGATTTACATTACGGTTAGATGTTATCTGAGTTTCTGCAATGATTCAGGTATAACAAGTTCGCTAATAAAATTAGGAATATGTGAAGTAATATATATTTTAAACCGGGCGTGTATGCAATCCATTTTGTGATGGGTGGGGGTAGCTCCCTGAAAGAATGCTTCGGTAGTAGGGCAAGCACAACTTGAAATATGTGTCTTCAGGTATTATTATTATTCTTCATAGAAGTGGCTTTTTTTTTTTAATTCATACAGCGTTTAGCGACTAGCAGTAAAAATGATAGAATGAGTAAATACGAACATTTGCATCGCTGCAATAGGAATGTTTTCTTTTTTTTTTTTCGTAATTTTTCAAATTAGAATGTAATTAACGAAAGCCAAAAAAAGGGCTCTAGGATATTGAACATAAAAGTAAAGCCGCTATACCTTAGATGAAATAATGTTCTTAATCATATCCTGGAGCATCGTTCGGTTTGATAAAAGTAGACGGACTTGTATCTATCATTCCGCTTGTTTGTCGAAAGATTTAAAGGAACACCTAAAAGCTTCAAGTTAAGCGTGGTCAATTAACGTATTTGTTTCGCGTCTGTGAAACGTATTCTCATATTATGAGATGTCTGTAACAGGGTATCTAAGCCTGTTGACTTAAGGTTGTCCTAACAAAGTCCTATACGCGTTTGTTCGATATCTAGCATGAAGCGAGCCATCAATTTATGCTTGTCAAGATCAAACTACGATCAGCGTAGCGTACGGTCGCGTTTTTAATGAACAGTTGCTATGAATCAAGATCTGATGAATACCTCTCTTATCTTCATACAGGGACATATAAGCTGTGCTTTCCATAACAGGTTAGCTCACAGGTCTCCGTACACCTTTTGTGCGTTAACGTACTTTTTTTTTATCAGCAATAAAAAAAACTAGCACTGCTGCCACTGTCTTCGTCAGTTATGCCTAATCAGATTGATACGGCAGTTGGCTAAGTTCTACCCGGATGATTTGGCAAGCCCTGAAGAAAGGCACTATTGCCAAATAGACATTATAGTATAGCTGATACCCATAACACTTAATTACGCATCGAACAGAATGAGATAGAAAATCTTGCGATAGCCCATAGCGAAGCAACGCTGCGTTCACACTGAGTCGATGGAGCTTTCGATGACAACGTTCTCACCGATGGCCAGCTAGTTAGTTATTACTAGCTTAACAATAGCTTAGCAAAAAAGGTGCCCGTCTTATCTGAACGATCTACCGAGTCTACTATTTATTAACAGCTCGTTTGTCCTCTACTGTTTTATTGTTGGCTTGTTTGTTGTAACTCCATAGTCAACATGTATTTCAGAGATGACTAGAAATCTCAAATAACGATTCCTGACAGCATTCCTTCATTCGATATATTAGAAAGTGTAAAAAGTCATTGATCAGAAAAAGCCATCTGCCTCTAATATAATAAAGACGAAAAAATTTTCCGTGTTGATGCTGCGTGACAAACTTCGAAATTTTCGAAATATTGAAAAGTGATTTGAAGCAAAGCTAGAACAAGCCCGATATCGATGAAAAATTATACTTGTCTGATTGGACCACCAGACTGACTATGCTTATATTAATCTAGCAGTTATGTATTAACAATCTGTGACTCGAAATGGTTCGGTGTTAGCGGTGTTGAATCGTCTTCAGTAGGTGCGGGCGGCAAACTCGCCTAAGCAGGATGTGTCTACTGTCGAGTCCCGTTTCCATATTCGTAATAGATTCGAATCGCCTCTCCCTCGATGTCACGATACTGCCTTTTCAATGCGACTGCCGCTGTCTAGCCAGAGTTCGTCCGTAAAATGACCAACTGGAAAAAAGGAAGCGGCACAACGGTGCGTCGCCCTTCATTATGCTCTGGCGCATTTTCAACCGCACGTGCTGGGTCGGCGTTTCGAGAGCATATCTCATTAGCTGATGCCAGCTCGTCAAGTACCCAATAGAATCTTTCTGTACCTGTACACTGGTACATTTCGAAGAAGTCGCTACGATCAGTAATAGCTTCTATTATGATTAGGTAGTTCTTGAACTGCCGTGGCCCTCAACATCGTAGCATCACTTTCTCGATTCTGCCGAGAATACGTCCATAATATGGAATAAATATTCTGTATAGCTGATACACAATCGTGATAAATGGTCACGCTAAAACCCGTTTACGGTGGAAGTTTCTGAAGTGGATGTATCCATGAGGCCATGGCTGGCCGTATCACTTAGGCTGTCTGTCAGTACTGGAGGCAAGAAAATGCAATAGTTTCGGACGACTATGGATCGGTCGGTTCAATACGGCTCACATGATAATACAAATGCCTCAAAACTATTGGTTTGTTGAGATATTGTTTCAGGTAGCTGTATACAAAACAAAGGTGTTTCTAATTAGGCAGCTGTAGCCGTTCTGAGAATCCGTCAACCCACGACATTGTTGACTATCACCTTTCTGGTTGGTAGGATATCGCAGTTTCATTTGCGAAAGGCTAGCGCTTCAAAAGTCAGCATGCACTAACGTAGACGACAATTATCCCTCGTTCTGTAAATGGCCAGATTGTATGGCAGTGACATGTACACTGGGTAGTTGATAGTCATCTGCAGTAAACGATCTTTTAATGCTGGCAGAATCTCTCATATGTACGGATACGAAGCATCAGATACCAAGTAATACGTTGCGCGGTAGCTTAACGATAGTGCGCAATTTCGTCGATAGCGAAAACAAGTTTAGTTAAGTTACTGTCCAAAGGACAATTCAATAACGTCTACCTGCGAACCAATTAGTAGATTAATGTACACCAGTAACATCTAACGAGATAAGTTGAGCGATATACTAAAGACAGGAGAGAGTTATACTGAGGCAGCTTCTCCTAGCAGCTACAAAGAGGTCTCTATAATATTCAACAGTATCAAATAGATCAGTTTAGAGTTACGCTATGTATTCGTCTATCTGTAACGTCCGGGTAAAAAAACGCGCGTAAGCGAAACTCTCTTTAGAAGACCAAAATCTATAAACACGTTGTCGAGACTATCTATGGTCAGTTTCCAATGAGGGTGCGTACGAAATTACTTTTGTTCGCGTTTACCATCTCACCCGCAAGGTCGTTAAGCTGACGAGATGCCTGAGTAGCAAAGAGGCTCGGCAACCGCCGTTTGTACCCGGGCTGCAAGCACTGCTCGCTTCATGTTCGGGCTGTGACCACCATTTTACAACGATAATGAATGTGGCCAGTTTGGTTTCATGGCTTCTATATCTCGGCTGACTGCTTCGAACAATGTCTCATAACAATGCTATGTAGCGACTGTGGGATTTCGTTGAAGGCAGAAATAATGGGGAAGGTTGGGGAACAGTTTGGGTATCGCTGGTCGCTTATCGTCTATGGCATAGTGCGTGCTACAAGCTTATCGTGAATTTGAAGAAGGTTCTCCTCCAATCGTTTTACTTGGCAATCAGATTGAGAAGACTCCTAAACACAGCCAACTGCTTCGCACGGCCACAACGAAACTTCAGTTGGCCGGGCCTTTTAGCTAGTATCGTCGCGACTAGAAGATTCCGGTACTGCGAAGCCTGCTTCTAAGTAAAAATCAAATGGCTACAATTTGTAGAGTTTTTCCACCTCCGTTTCTCCTATTCGGCCGATGTTTCCGAACTACTTCGCGGTGAAACTGTTCGGTCATGTATAATAGAAGGCTATCCACTCGCTATTTCAAACACTTGTCTCTCATGTTATCATTTCAGTACTGCCTCGCTCGTTGGGCAAATCTAAGTGATGTTCATCTTTATCAAGCATATTTATCGCTAAATAACAATGCGATAATCTTCAGGGGGGACATTCACTACTTAGGTTAGCTTGCCCAAGCATGCTTCTGATGGAGCTTGAATCAATCACTCAGGTATTTGGCGGCTTGCATCCTATGGTCTTGTTTATGTTCTGGTTTTTTTAGGTGGACTGACGTTTAGGTTATAGAGAGAAGCGGTCTGTTTGTAAAAGGCGTCAACCTGTTTGCAAAGATCAAAAAAAAGAATTCGTTTTTCAGCCTTAGCGACACCATTGGACCGGAATTTGCTGAAAGAACAAAAATATGTTCTCTACACGTTTACCGAGTCAACTTCTCAGCCAGCAAGGTTAA